GTCAACATAAAACTGGTCTAGGGATCCGATAAGAGTTTCAGTATGCATGTTATTGAAGGCGCCTTTGATGTCAATTCATACCGCCAGGGTATACAGTTTCCTATCGAAGGATTCACCTATGTAGTGGACAACTTTGTTTAAAGCGGTTTCCACCGATGGTCCCTTTACATAAGCATGCTGCTTATATTTAAGATCCTTGTCTGGTATACTGCGTTTAACCATACTATCGACTATCCGTTTCAAGGTTTAAGTAGAAAGGACGTAAGACTTATCGGCCGATCGGACTTAGGTGTCGCAAAGCTAGGTTTCCCTGGTTTGAGTACAAATATTACCCTTGCATCCTGCCACTTAACTGGGGTATATGTTAATTTAAAGCATGCAGTGCATATCTGAGGCAGATGTACGGAAACTAGTCCGGGAAAATGCCATCCGGCCCTGCAGCTTTATAGGGAGCAAAGCTCTTGATTGCCCCTTTAACCATGACAGATGTAATAACTACTACTTGTAAAAATACAAATACAAGAAGTTATGACATTTAAAATGAAGAACTTTTTTATTTTTATAAGACTAGGTCCATAATTGACTCTATCCCAGAGATACAAGCCGACTCGGCTCAAAACGGCAGCTCGCCGGTATATTTTATAGCGAGCCGTCAATCATTTTGCTTCGGCTTGTATCTATGATAGGAATTTTTTTCCATATAACATCTGTTAGGGAAAGTCACATTTTTCAACAAATCGTTTAAAAATCAATTGTTATGAGACATAGTAAATCACTTTCTCGAGTTCTAAAGAGTTCGGTCCACAATTAACCCAAGTCCCAATTAAAGTCCAAAAATCACACTGATGCTAATATTAATATAGATATGTTATGACAAGGGTATATAAGATTATTATACTTATGTGTGTTTTATTATTTTTTAGAATCGACAATAATATCGAAACATTAACTGCCGAAGTCGAAAATATCAAAGAAATCCTTAAAAAACAAAATATTAACCTTAACAAACGCCTCGCCGCTCTACAGGCCGATGATAGTGATACGGAAAACGAATACAGTCTCTATGATGATTTGTGGATTATTGTCCAGAAGCGTCATGATGGTTCTGTAGATTTCTATAGAAATTGGACAGAGTACAAGAATGGATTTGGCAATGATGTGGGAGGGGAATTTTTTGTAGGACTCGATAAAATTCACGAACTTACCAATGACAGAGATCATGAACTGCTCGTGCTATTGGAAAACTTTGACGGCATTACAAAATACGCCCATTATGATCACTTTTTGATTAGTAATGAAACGGATCGATATCGTTTGCTGAAATTGGGAAAATATAGTGGCACACTGGGCAACTATTTAAGGTTGCATTTGAACATGTTTTTCTCTACCAAAGACAGTGATAACGATTATGCCGATGAAGGAAATTGTGCTGAATGGTTCAAGGGTGCCTGGTGGTATTATCATTGTATGACTAGGTAATAAAAGTTAAATTTAACTAGTATTTCCTAGTAGTATTTTAAATATCTTTCACTTTTTATTTGTTTTAGCAATCTCAATGGACCCTACAGACATTGTCCTAATCTGACGGAAAGTGAAAGAGGCATTGGTATTACTTGGGGTTCTTATGATGATATATTATTCTCCTATAAATCTTCACAAATAATGTTAAGAGCAAAAGATAAAAACAGAGAAAATAAAATTAAGCATTATTAAAAAAACACTGTGAAAAACCATGCAACAATCGTTTTTGGCCATATTTAAAACTGATCTAGTTTGTTCTATAAAATGGTTCTGAAACCAGTTTTTATATATATGAATAAAAATATATATTCGTAATTGATTAGTAAGAATCTTAATAAAACTATTATTATATCTGTAATTATACCCTTCGTGAGAAGGGTAAATTTTCAACAATTCTATCAGACATGCTTTCGAGAAGTTTCCTATTTAAAATCAGCATCATCAGCAAATCGGTCCATAAATAACGGAGATATGAGCTAAAATCTCAGACAACCTCTGAAAATTTCATCAAAATTAAATTTTTTGTGTATGCTTACACAAAACGAGTATCAAAATCAGGGATGAAAAATTTTGTTTGGAAAATTAAGCAGGAATGGGAAAAAGTGAGAAATTAAAAAGAAATGAATTTTTAGTTTTAAAAATTAAATAGTGGGATGTTATTTGCAACTCTGGTACCAAGTACTATATTTTGTTAATTTTCGTTTTTAACTGCTACTTTTTGAGTTTACTTTAATATTGAACACAGAAACATAAAATTAATCATGTAGAGCCCTGTAAAATGGGACTTTTGTGCTTTTTCGTTCTTTAAAAGGTACTTTTTGAATTTACTATAATATTAAACCTAGAAACATAAAATCGTTCAGAGTCCTGTAGGAAAGAATTTTTGGTACTTTTTTGTTCTTCAACTGGTACTTTTTGGTTTTTATGCAATATTGACATATTGCGTAATGGAACTAAAACTTATGAGTGTTTTTTTTATGGTACATTTACTGTTACTTTTTGAACGTATTATAATATTGAACTATACTGATTGAATTACACAATTCATAAATAGGAAGTTTCTCGTACTTTTTCGTCATTCAAATGATACTTTTTGATTTTCTAAACTATAGGATGGAATGAACATTTAAAAGACTAAACCTTTTGTCACTTTTTCGTTCTTCAGTTGATACTTTTTGAATTTTTTATATATATATATATATATTCTTGGACCTTATGAAATTCTGAGTCGATCTAGCTATGTCCGTCTGTCCGTTCGTCCGTCTGTCTGTATAAAACATTTTCACGTTAATACGAAGCAACAAAAATTAACGAAATTCATCCAAAATATTTACTATTGTCCTAGGCAGTTTGGTATTGAAAATGAGCAAAATCGGTTCACATCGGGAAAAGTTATGAATCAAAATTTAAAACAACTCCGAACAAAATTTTTTACACATTCCGACGTAATTTTCACGAAAACTATGTAAGATAATTGCATGAAAATCATCATACATTTGTTTCTGCACAAGGGCTTGACTGCTGCTGAAAATTGGCAGAATCGGCCCACAATTTTATATACCTCCCATACAAAATACATATTCCCGGAAAAAAATTTTACAAGTTAAAATGTTATGAGAATAGAATTCATTCAAAGAAAAAATTTTCAGGATCGGTCTATAATTGGACATAGCTCCCATACAAGGTCCACCCGAAAATCACTTAAACACGCATAACTCATTACTAAATTAAGATATCCATATAATTTGGTACAAGTATTGCTGTTATATACAGAAATGTTAGTGTAGAATTTTTTTCCGATCGGTCCATAATTGGTCATAGCTCCCATACAAGGTCCCCTCCCGAAAATCACTTAAACGCACATAACTCATTACCAAATAGTGATATCCATATAAAATTTGGTACAAGCATTGTTCTTATATACAGAAATGTTACTGTGAAATTGTTTTCCGATCGGTCCTTTATTAGTCATAGCTCCCATACAACTCATTACTAAATTAATATATCCATATAAAATTTGGTACAAGTATTGCTCTTATATACAGAAATTTTACTGTGAAATTTTTTTCTGATCGGTCCATAATTGGTCATTGCTCCCATACAAGGTTCATTTCCGAAAATTACTTAAACGCACATAACTCATTACTAAATATTGATATCGATACATTTAGCACAAATATTGCTCTTATATACATAAATCACACCATAAAATTTGTTCACGATCGGTCCATATTTGGTCAATTGTATGCACAATATTCATTACCAAATAATGATATCGATATAGAATTTAGCCAACATTTTGTCATTATATACATTAATGTTACTGTGGAATTTTTTACGATCGGACCATAATTGGTCATAGCTCCATACAAGGTCCACCTACCAAAATCTCTTAAACGCACATTACTCATTACCAAATAAAGCTATTGCTACAAAATTTTGCACAAATATTAGTTTTGTATACAAAAAATATATTTTAAGATTTTTTCACGATCGGTTCATAGTATGGGTGCGATCGGTCCCATACAATGTTCCCTTCCGAAAATCAGTTAAACACATATTACTTATTACTAAATTACGATATAGATACAAAATTTGACTGAAATATTGCCTTTATATACAGAAATGGTACTTAAAGTTTTTTTACAATCGGTTCATAATTGGTCATATCTCCCATACTTGGCCCTGACCCGAAAATTTTAATTTCCTTAAATCTTTCACACAGATTATTAAATATCGCTAAATCATATCTTAAGGCACTTTAAAAATATAAAAGAAAATGGAGTTTGTAGTGTTCAATAAATCTTGCAATTGTAACAGATTTAAGCCTTTTAAATCTTGGGGCTTTTCTATTTAAGACATGAGAAAACTTATTTCTACAAATATTTGATCAATTAAAAAAGTATTAATATAAAAGTAGCTGGTGGAGGGTATTTAAGATTCGGCTTAGCCGAATATAGCACTTTAACTTGTTTTTATATTAAACCTTGAAAAAAGAATTAAACCCACAGCGTCCTGATTGAATTTATATCTGTAAAAGGGAACTTTCTGGTACTTTTTCGTTTTCCAAATGGTATTTACATATATCCTATACCGCTATAGAGGGAAGGGTATAATGCATTTGTGCTGATGTTTGTAACCCCCAAAAATATTGATCCTACACCCACCTTAAAGTATACCAATCGGCTCAGAATCACTTTCTGAGAGATTGTCCCGGTGTGTCCATGTAATAAACTTTATGCGCACACTACAAGTAGCAATTTTCAAGATTATTTTTATGAAATTTGACACATACTTTTCTTTTGACCCAAGGAAAAAAATCGGTCCACTATTTCGCAAAGCCCCCATACAGCCGTATTTCTCAATGTTTTGTAATAAAATACGTACTGACATTTTTGTAACACACTATGGTATAAGATAAGATTCGTCACAGCCGAATATAGAACACGTTCTTGTTTTAAAATGTATTGGTTAAATGGTTAATTTTAAAGTAAAATTTATTTCATAATTTATTAAATATAAATGTGCAACATTTTTTAAATAAAACGTATTAGTATTTAAATTAAACTCGCAATAAAATATTTTTAACTTTTTAAACGCACCATCATTTGGACAGTTTGAAGCTGCAGTTCATCAAATTTTCCCCATGTTATTCCAATATTACTGATAACATAACGTGTACGAAAGGGTCCATTTAAATTGCTAGAAAGTTTACATGTTAATAATTTCGCTCAATTATAAATTAACGTTTACCTTGTCAAACAGTTGTTATACCACCAACCGCTTTGAAAACTTTTGGCACAGTGTAAATTGGGGCTCGCATCATTATCTCTATCCTTAGTGGAGAAATACATGCCCACATGACTCCTCAAATGATCACTGGCATTACCACTATAACTTCCCAACTTTTTCAATTGATATTTTTCACTTTCATCGCCCACCAAGAATTCATCATAGAGCGCATATCTAAGATTGCCTTTAAAGTCTTTCAACTGAATTAGCAACTCATGAGGACCACTGTTCGTAAGATAGTGAATCTTATCTAGACCAATGAAAAATTCTCGAAATGGATTACCAAAACCATGTTTATAATGATCCCAGCTACGATAGAAATTTATTGAACCATCTTGACGTCTTTGGATCATCACCCAGAGATTTTTATATAAATGATTATCAGTTGTTGTTTCAATATCTGCTTGCTGCGGAGGTGGCTTAAGACAATTGGGTGAATCTTCGCCAACCATTAGTAAAGACTTTTTAACATAACTAATATCGGATGAAATTTCATTAATTTTTTTGTCGTATCTGTAAGAAAGAACAAATTATTTTATGATGTTTTTGAGGTATTTAATATTTTCTCTTACTTTTTATTTAATTCACTAAAATATTGTATTGCATGCTTAACTAATGTATTCAAATCAGTGGATGCGGCATCGGAAAACATAATTTCATTAGCATTGCACTCTTTCTGTAATTCACAAAAAAAAAATATTTTTCTATTAAAGGTTATCAAATTTCTCTTCCGAGCTCTGTCAAAGTGTTTAAGATTTTATACACATCATCAAGAAATATGAATGAAATTGAATGAAAATTCACTAGAAGTTAAATTGGCCCCAAATCAAAGTTATAAAAGCCCTAAAACTAGGACAATAACTTGATTTTAGTGCCTCCATCGAAAAAATTCATCAACTGAAAAGATTTCTCGTTGCTAGTGGTAGTTTTAATTGTATCCCTGGACTATTGATAAACAAGAAATGGACTTGGATCTTACTTGGAAAGATACTGCCGCAACGATAGACATATTCGAAAAATATTCTGGGGCCGTTTTTATAATCGGAAACTGATTGATTACAAAGCAGGACTTCAAAACAAAAAATTAACAAACAGATTTAAAATCGGCTCAGAAAGATAAGTGATATATCTTTTACTTTTCGCCAGTCACTAATACTAGTTATTTTTAATCAATTGACACAAAACTCACCAACAACATTATATCTGTTATAAGTATTTTATATAAATTTGAATCATTTATAATTGCACTTTTACTAATTTTTATATGTAACTTTGCTTACATTTTCATTGTCACAAAATCCAAATTCGCCATTTACGTTTTTCGATATGCACACGATTAGAAATATTTTTGCAAACAGTTGCATTATAAGTAATTTAACGTTTCTAATTAGAAGATTTTTATAAACTGATTTTAAAAATACTTTTCATAGTAAATTTTGTTTACTTCCGCAGAAATGATGAGCCAAGCTTATCAATATTGTTTATTCAATTTAATCAAAAGGGAATCTAAGAATAAGTCAGAGTGATATATGTACATATGCGGCTATGTAGAATTTTATATACCCTTCAACTATAAGTAAATTTTTTAAAATTTAATCTCCGTAATTCATTATATATGTATATCGATTTCTTCATGTGTATGGACATTTTATTAAATTATTACATTGTGTTATATTATGTTTATTAATTAAATCAGTTCATTTGATTTTCTGAACCGTAAATATTACCGTCGCCGACACAATTGTATTATTTAAATTCCATCTGTCAACATACAAAACAATTTAAGTATTTCTATTCAGTATATTTAAATGCATTTCTTTTCTAATCACACTTACAAATTTATATATTTTAGCTTTTCTATTACGTAAATGAATTGGACAATTGTATAAGACAACTCATCTCATCCGAAATGACCATAAAACGTATAAAGAGCGACATAATATGACAGTTAAAAGCGCTTGCCAATGTGCAGATGAAAAACTTTTTACAAAAAAAAAAAAAAACAAATAACTCTTTAAAGAATTCGCATATGAACGAATGGCAGAACAGACGGACAGACAATTTAAAATAGAATGGATTATAAATTTTAGTGACCACTAAGGTGTTATTATCAGTGACAGTTATGGCTTAAAGCCTCTAAGCCATACAATTCATACAAAGAAATTATTTGAGACAACCCAGACTTAAATCAAGCCAAACCAAGCCACAACAGGCCAAGAAAAGAAAATTGTTTTGAAAGTGCCCGTATTTATGTACTCGTATTCATATCTTGATTGAAAAAACACACACACTCACTCATGTCCATAAAGAAGTGTTGAATTTATAGTCTACGAAAGAATTCATAGTTTTACAAGTAATTTTACAACATTTTTGATAGATAATGAATATAAAAATCACAAATAGAATTGAAAAGATTATTCGCACACATACTTAGAAATCTATTCTAATAGAAACTAATCACTTAGAGTGGGTACTCTCATATTGTTTGCGGAATAATTTAAATTAGATTGAGAGTTGCCAGGCAATAAAATGGCTAGAATTCGAAAAGTATACATTTGAAAATGGGGCACTTGGCACTAATAAGGACGATTTTATGCATTGGATGAAAGAACAACGGCATTCATGTACTATTTACATATCGAGAAATGAAAATTAATAGAATTTGTCCTGATTAATCCAATCCTCTTCAGTATCGAGAAAGTACATAAAAATAGGGATGGAAAATTCTAATACGAAAACCTTTTTATACCCTCCACCACCATCAGTGGCGATAGAGGGTATATATAAGTTTGTGATTCCGTGTGTAACACCAAGAAATATTCATCTGAGACCCAACAAAGTATATATATTCTGGGTCCTTATGAAATTCTGAGTCGATTTAGCTATGTCCGTCTGTCCGTCCGTCCGCCTGTCTGTATGTCTGTGTGAAACACGCTCACGTTAAAATGAAGCAATGGAAATTAACGAAATTCAGCCAAAATATTAATTACTATCCGGTACAGTTTGGTATTGGAAATAAGCAAAATCGGTTCACATCGGGAAAAGTTATGAATCAAAATTTAAAACAACTCCGAAAAGTTTTTTGTTAATAACTTCCGTCAGAATGTTGATATCTTCACAAAATTTTACAAATTAAAATCTTATGTCAATAGAATTCATTGAGAGAAAAAATTACTTATTACTAAATTAATATATCCATATAAAGTTTGACACAAGTATTGCTCATATACACCTAAATATTACTGTGAAATTGTTTTCCTATCGGTCCATAAAAATATAAAAGAAAATGGCGTTCGTAATGTTCAATAAATCTTGGAATTGTAATAAATTTAAGCTGTTTAAATCTTGGGCTTTTTCTATTTAAGACATAAGAAAACTTATTTCTAAAAATATTTGATCAATTAGAAAAGTATTAATATAAAAGTAGCTGGTGGAGGGTATTTAAGATTCGGCTCGGCCGAATATAGCACTCCAACTTGTTCATAGGTTATTTTAGTGCAAAAATCTTATATATTAATCCACATAGTATTTGTTCTAAAGTTGATAGAAGTATTAACCGCAGTCTCTATCCTTGATTTTCCTCCTAGTAAATATTGTGGGTCAAACAATAACTCTAGTTTACACCAAAAATGTCCGATTTTGTATTGATAAATTGAAAATTATGTTTAGAGTTAGTATCGAAAACTTTAAGAAATAGGAAACTTCGTAAACGCTTGGAAAAAAGTGAGATACTTTTTAATCGTACTTTTTTGTGAAAATGTTTTAAGCCTACTACTTTAAATCCAAAGAAATACACCCTTACCTGTCCTGTTGTTTGTTGGTAAAAACAAAAGCCGTATATAGACATCACTTAAGGTGTTATCGTCCGATGTTCAGAAGCCATTTTCTAATTCCTAAGAAGTGTTTGTGAGGGATATTACATCTAGAATAATCGACAAATGCCTGACAATACTAACCTTGGACTTGCTCATTTTTACAAGGCTTCTCGTTTGTGGTTCTACCCAACATTTTATTATTTCATGTGGCCTTATGGAATTCTCTCGTCCATATTTTTATTTCGTTGCGTTGAACGGTTTTGCGTTAGTCAGGTTAACTACCTCGAACTCCCTTGCCTTTATACCAAGTACATTCGCTTTTTCGTTGCCGACTACTTCGGAGTGACTTGTTACCCATATGATGCAAAATTTTTATCTGGGAAGGTATTCGGTTAAAGCATTCTTACAGTCCAAAACGGCTTTGCATTTAACATTGTCATTTGATATCGCCTTAATATAGAAACCCAGGTCGGTTTTGTCCCCAGTTTAGAGCCATCCATGTAGCAACCAATTCCTTCGTGTATTTGCTCTAATGTTCCGCTTCAACATGGCATCCTATCTGAATAGGGCTAAAGCCCCAATTCGTGACCTTGGTTCTCCTACATAGCGCTAAGCACCGATATGTTTGTTCACATTATCCTCTATGTATTATCTCCATTTCAATTTCCGGTCAAGGATTGTTCCTAACAGACATGGGGGTAATGATTACACAAAGTAATTAATTACAAGGTCAATTACAATTACTTGTAATGTGTAATTGAACAATAACCAATTACAATTACTTGTAATGTGTAATTAACCAATTACAATTATTTGTAATTGCCATTTTGCCAATTACAATTACTTTTAATTGAAATTTTCAATTAAAAATACTTGTAATTGTAATTTAGATATTACTAATTACAAATTATATGTAATTATAAGGAACAAAATTCACAATTACAAGTAATTGTAATTGGAAATTCTTCAATTACAATTACAAGTAAGCGTAATTGGCAAAACTTCCATAACAATTACAAGTAATTGTAATTGGAAAAACAATAACAAATAAATATATTTGGCAAAAAATCAATTACAATTACATGTAATTGTAATTGGTAATGCTTCAATTACAATTACTTCAAATGTAATTGTAACTGAAAATGTAGTCATTACCCCTGGTTCCTAAGTACTGTGATCTAGTTTATGGATTAGTCAATAGGTTAATTTGTGGACTAATACACTAGTCCATAAATTAATAACTTTAGTATATGAAGTAAACTTTTAAAGTTTCAATTTTTTCTTGCTATGGAAAAAAATTTATCTAAAGAAAATCTAATGAATATCATTTTCGTAATAAAGTTCCGATTGAGGGGATTGGTTTCTAAATAGTAACCAACCTATTAAAAATAGAAATCGTGTTCATAAATATAGGCTGAGTGTATACTTAGCATACATAGGCATATATATATGTGCATTAATATTATCTTGTCTCTAGGCCAGATCGATTACATGAATAATTTTAAGATCTCAGAACTCCACATTTTCTGTAAAAAATTGTGTAACTCTCAATATTTCTATAAAATCGCTCCACGGTTTACGTTTTGCACGATTTGTAAGTTAATTTCTTGTGCTTGCTAAGTTTTCCCCCAATTTTAATATCCGGCAACTATGGTAATTCAACAAAACAAAGTAACCAACTATGTACTTACTATTCATTCGAGTTGGCAGCCCGTTGACCACTTTTGTTTTAGACATTTGAATTTGCTGAAAAGTGGGCGCAAGTGTGTGCACGCTTTTAACTGCTGTCTAATGCAAGCTGTTGCTGCTGTAGCAGCTACCAATGATGCTGCTTCCAATACTACTTAATGGCGGTTTGTGCAACATTTGGTAGCCTTAAGCTTCTTGTGATATCCTTGATCTTGCTTGTTATTTGTTATACAAATGTAATTTATAGATTCATTGATATTTAAGGCGTTCAAAGTGCTGGCAAACATAAATTATTTAAATTAACTACAAACACCGAATAACAACGAAAAACTGGAACATTTCAGCCAACCATTGCACCATCAACATTATCGGGAAGCTCAGCATATTTATTGATTGATGCATTACAAAAAGATAATGTACAACGAGTAAAATAGTCGGATGGATTTAGTTTTTTTAGTTTTTTTCTCTCTTTTAGAAAATACATAATAAAATGAAATCATGTTGGCTGGAAAATATTTTAAACTGTTTTTCATTTTATTGACCAATAATTTTCTATTTCACGTTTTTTTTCATACATACATACAGATTTTCTAACTTTTGAGAAATGGAAAATTTATTAAGAATTATTTTTTGTCTAACTGGCGGCAAGTATTTAAGGTGTCACTGAATTATATTTGCAACAGCGCTTTTTCTTCTTACATTTCTTCGCCGTCATGCGGCTGAAATTTAAATATAAATTTAACGGTTGTTTATTTTTTTATTACTACTGGCCCAGACAATTTCTATGATAAATATAAAAAAATGTAAGAGAAATATACGATTAATTTAAAATAAATTTATGAGATGTTAACACGCATGTATTTAGTATTTGGTACCAGTTCATATTGGAT